TACCCCTCGCATGCCCCTTCCCCCTCCCCACCCCTGTCCTGCCCATCCCCCTCGCACCACCCTGTCCTGCCCCTCCCCCCCTCTTGCTGCCCCCCTCTTCCCCTCCCACATTCGTCCCTGACTGCCCGTTAATAGACGCGGCTCTGATGCTATGGGCCGGGCCTGACGTCGATTAAACGAAAATTGGCCAAAAGCTCCCATCACGCGAACAATCTACCATCCGATCTGCGTGCTACGCTAGCGCCAACCGATGCTGCCATATTTAGTACCACGTACCACGACCTGCACTGAAAACCGCCCCTTGGAGCCGACAGCTGCCATGCATGCAGAGGTCCACCCTGTCTGTCACTCATTTGGCCATGCACTGATTGCCTCCCCCTCTCTTCTTCCCTATTCTTTTCCTCTTTTCTATATACCTGTCTTCGCTTTCATTCATCCTCCCCCTCTTTATATTTCATATCCATTCCTGCGTTTTTCTTACCTTCCTCTCCCCTCTTCACTCTTCCCCTCCCCTTATTCTATCTCCTCTAATCCCGTGTCCTCCCTATTCCTCCATTCAATTTCATATTCACGTTCTCATCTCTCCCTTCCATCTCATCCCATCCTATCTCATCTCACCTCCTATCCTCACCACTTATCACGTCCGTTTCATTTCATCATCTCATCTCCTATCCTGCCCTCCCTTTCACCTGACCCCCTCCCTTTCACCTCACCACCCCATTTCCCTTTCCTGCCTTCCTTCCCTCCCCTCACTCCCCTTCCCTTCCCTTCCCTTCCCCGTCCCCGTCTCCGTCCCCTTCCCCGTCCCCTCCCCTCCCTACCATCTCCCTATCTCCTCTCATCCCCTCACCTCCCTTCCACCTTCCCACCTCCCCATCTTCCCCTTCCATCCAGCTGCCTATCTTCCCCTCTTGTTTCCCCAACATGCGTGACGTACGGGCCGCCGCGACCTGCCTCAGCCTCATTTCACCCGCCGGCACTCCGCCCTCGTCCGCGTCATGTCTCTCTCTCTCTCCTGCTGACGGCCTAGAACTCAATCTGTCTGTCTGTCTTTCTGTCTGTCTCCATCTATCCGTCTCTGTCTGTTTCTTGTCATCTGCCTCCTCCTATCTAACTCCTGTATAGATGACTGATTTTTTTTTTCTTTCTGTCCCCTTCTGTTTGCCTGCCTCTTTCTATATGTCTTTTTCTACCTCTTTCTGTCTGTCTGCCTTTTTTCTTTATAACTTCTTCAGTTTATTTCTTCTTATTTATACGGTTTCGGTAAGATGATGATGAGGGCGAGGACAATAGGCAGAGGAGGAAGAAGCGGAGGAGGAGGAGGAGAAGGAGGATAGGGGGAGGAGGAGGAGGAGGAGGAGGAGGAGGAGGAGGAGGAGGAGGAGGAGGAGGAGGATAGGGGGAGGAAGGGGAGGAGGAAGAGGAAGAGGAAGAGGAAAAGGAAGAGGAAGAGAAGAAGGAGAAGAAGGAGGGGAGGACAACGACGATGGCGATGACGAGTAGATGGAGGAGGTAAGAGAATAGACATGGAAAAGGTGAAAAAAAATGAGGCTGTGGAGAAACTATGCCTAGCCTGGTCCAGAGCCGATTTCATCCAAGGCCCTTTCTCTCCTGTAGGCCTACATAGCGCCATTTTCTCTGTCACCCGAAATAAAGCCCTGGAAATACGCGATTTGCAAGCATTTCAAGACTGTTTAAGAATGTCTTAAAATGACCCATCAATAACAGCTGGCTGGCTTTGTAAAGGTCATTTCTATAAATAGGACGTGGACTTCAGTGTGACATTTGGATGTACTGTATGCGTATTTATACATTTACACATACATACATACATATATACATGCACACACATAATACATATATGCACATACATATACACACATGCAATCTATCCATCTCCCTCTCTCTCTCTCTCTCTCTCTCTCTCTCTCTCTCTCTCTCTCTCTCTCTCTCTCTCTCTATATATATATATATATACATATATATACATATATATAATATATATACATATATATACATATATATACATATATAATATATATACATATATATAACATATATATATATATATATATATATATATATATATATATATATATATATATATATATATATATGTGTGTGTGTGTGTGGTGTGTGTGTGTGTGTGTGTGTGAGTGTGTGTGTGTGTGTGTGTGTGTGTGAGTGTGTGAGTGTGTGAGTGTGTGAGTGTGTGAGTGTGTGAGTGTGTGAGTGTGAGTGTGTGAGTGTGTGTGTGAGTGTGTGTGTGTGCTTATATGGATATGTATATATGTATGTGAATGTGTATTTATGTATGTATATATGTATGTATATATGTATGTATGTATGTATGTATGTATGTATGTATGTATGTATGTATGTATGTATGTATGTATGTATGTATGTATGTATGTATGTATGCATGTATGTATGCATGTCTGTATGCATGTCTGTATACATGTCTGTATAAATGAATCTATATATATCATACCAGATACTA